TTTACTGTTACACACTCATCAAAACAGGCCCACATCTTGACTCTGTACTAAATATATCATACTTTAAATAAGATATTCTTTTTATCAGCGATGCATTGGCTGGATTTTAAGGTCTGACTTGAGCAGAAGTAGACACTTGGCAGCGCAGAGCCTGTTCCAAAATGCTGTTTGAAGGTTCAAGAGGTAGTAAAGGCGCATGGCAAGGCAGTCTCCTCCTCACTGTCTGCTTTTTGCGGTTGCTATGGAAACATGCAGTCCAAACCCCCAGAAAGGCAGAATGTATGTAATCAGCGCTACAGAGAGGAGGCAGGGGGAGTCCTGCTAGGGTTGCTCCCAAAGAGCCATGCTGAAATAAAGATGAATTCTCTTTTTTCTTTCCAAACTCTGCAGGCCATAAAACTCAGCCTCTTTCTCTCAGTCAGATTTCCTCAGTGCTCATACTCTCATTTAACAAGTGGATGCAATCCTGTTCCCCTCCTATTAAATATGCATGTTTAATTTGTCTCTCAGTTCATATTTCAAGAGGTGAAGGAGTTGCTGTCATGGGACTTAATTTACTAATGAAGAGGGGAAAGAGCTGAATCTCATAAGTGTAAGAACATAAGGCTGGCGTTTCTATAAAAGCCTTATTTTGCTGATTTATTTGTTGATCCACTTAAAAGATCTACATGTCTTTCACCTTCTCCTCTGATTGGCTATATAATGCCATCCATATGTAGGTATAATGAAAATCTTTGACAGACTGCTGGCTGTTCTTAGTCTTGATGGTGATTCCCATAGATGTGGAATTAACTAGGGAAAACAATATAAACACCCCTTAAACCTCTAAAAATTTAAATGAACTGAAATTGGTGAGATACCTGTCTTTGTTAACCTGTTATGAATTTGATGGACTTGTTATTTTGGAGTGATAATTAGTGGCCATTATTTAGAAGAGAGGTTGTAGTTTTATTATCAGCTAATGCTAGCACGCTTGGTTACCAAGCTCCATCCATAGGATGTAGGGGTGCAGGGTGAAGACACAGATAACTGGCAATTAGTACTAACAGACTAATAAATGTTTTTGGTCTTCAGCGGTGTGCAGTTACAGAAAGCCAAGCAGACACCAAACCTCTACCAGTGCTTTGCTTGCTTTTATTAATGCTGTACTCGGCGTGGCTGAAGAATTGTTAAATGTTATTAGTTCTATATTTATCATTAGAATATTCACTGATAGCTGTACTACTAGCTAAGTACTAGTAAAGTACTTAAAAATGTTACCCATTTTCAGAGTTATATGGATCAATATTTCTGGTGCAGATGTTTAAAAAGGAACAAATTTTAAATACTTTACATTCTATTTAATCTCCAGTAATGCATCATATTCTACAAAATCATATGTTTGTGGTGGCTGACATGAGCTATATAGGCTATAACAGGATTAAGTTATGACTAACAAAAATATATTGAAATAAAATAACTGTTGAATAAACAATCTTGAGCAGTGTATGAAATTGTTAACTGATAAAAATCTACAAGGGGATTAAAAACAATAAAAAAAATTGAACTATTCAGTCAACCAAGTGATTTCTCACAGATGTTCATTTAAAAGTGCTGGCTGAGCCTGCACCAGTTCAACTTGCATGTATTTTTCTGTCTATTTATTTAACTGGTAAAAGCAGGAGCCTTGTGTTTCCTTCCTATCATCAAAGCTTTCCTTCCTAACATGCTAAAGAAATTATTAAAGTTTCTTACATTACACATGTTGGTCAAACTGATTAGTAACAGAAAACTTATATTTTGTGATGTTAAACCAGGGGGCATTTTATTTGTTAATTCTAGCTCAGTTTCTGCAAAATGTGTAGATTGTAACTGTTCTCAGAGCAGTAAAAGCAGAGCTGTAACACACTAGTCTTCAAGATCAGACGCTTGTCTATACTGTGCATGCGCAAATAACCAGAACAAACTGTCGACCGTTTAGCTTGTCCAGCTCAAGCCTTTGGTAGGACTTGGACATGCCCATGAATTCCAGCGACTACAGATTTCAGTGGAATCATAGACAAGCAGAGTTAAGTTCTCTTCCAGCTACAATAACTGCTAACTGCTGCCACAAAATGATTGAATGTAATGAGAGAATCTTTTGGAATGGAGCAGTGTTTGAAACGTAAAGAGAGAGAGATCACTTTCACTTTGACTTTTATTTCACTTTCAGATTTAACTGGACAAGCACTGCTTGCCTTGCTTGCCCTGACGGAACACTTCTGTTTTATTGATAGTTTCCCCATTCATAGTATCTGTAGAATATTATTTGTATGTGTCAGAACACCTATTTACCGCATTGGCCTTAACAATTTCCAAATGGATAAGGTATAAAATCCACCTCTGTAAAGTACACAGGGGGAAAATAGACAAGTCCATGAACGCTTCTTGATCCAGGATATAAAAATATATTGCATGGCTAAAGTTGGGCATTTTACCATGAAAGTGAGTAAGTGGGGGCTGGCTCATTTTCACTAGCCTCCAGTGGCCTTTGCAGGAATGTGGTTTTAGCCACTTCCATTTTTCAAAACCAGACTTTCTGCTTGGCTGGAAGTGATTATTCTCTAAAGTCTTGGTGATGGTGGCCTGTTGCTAGCTAAACTTAAACTACTTTCTTGGCAGCATCAAACATCTGCAACTATAAATTCTATACAGCTAAACTAAACTATAAATGGCCTGCATTTGTATAGCACTTTACTCAGTCCCTAAGGACCCCAAAGAACTTTACACTACATTCAGTCATTCACACACTGGCAATGGCAAGCTACGTTGTAGCCACAGCTGCCCTGGGGCGCACTGACAGAGGCGAGGCTGCCAGACACTGGCGCCACCGGGCCCTCTGACCACCACCAGTAGGCAAACATGGGGTTAGTATCTTGCCC